CGCTTCCCCCCACCTTGAGGACGGAGGTTTTCTGGGCAAAGATAGGTGGGCCTTTAGAAGAGAAGCATTTTCTCCAAAACATCCCCAGGGAGGAGACAGAGCAGAACCTTCTCTGAGAGAAGGACCAAAAATAAGAAAAGCCTCTGGAGCTGACTTTAGCAATGTATGAAGGAATTATTTTAATCGCTGATGAAGAGTTCACTTAAAAGACACCATCATTCATATAATACATAGCCCCAAGGCCTCAGAAGGAAAGGACTAGTCTTTAGGCTGACCCATGGTTTAACCAGACCTTCCCAAATATTTTCTGTATAAAAAACGGCTCTCTGTACCGCTGGCCCAAGCATAACACCTTCCAGGTATACCACGACTAGCTGGGCATACCAGGATCAGGCCTGTGACCATAGCTTAAACTGGGGTTGGAGACTAATGAGTAACATTGAGGGATTCCCTCCATCTCACTCCAAATGAGTCCAAATTCACTTCATACTTTTCTTCTGGGTGAACACAGTACCTGGAAAGGACTGAGGACCCAGATGATCTCCAGAACAAGATGGATGGCTCCGGCCTTCCCCTAGTCTCTAGGCCCCGATGTTTAGCAGTTCAGCAAAGCTCCCCTTCTTACAAATCACTACCATCTTTCATACTGCAATGTCTATTTTCCTTCATATTTCCATATCTAGTATGTCATTCAACACAAAATTCCAAGGTTCTGTGCAACGCAAGATGAAAAACACATTTCAGAATTCATTATACCAGCTGCTATTTGAAATAAACAGACCATCAACTAGTCTAGAAACCTTTGTGTGCCATCACCAATTTTCTTTACAATGGCATCCAACCTGTCCCTCATTTATCTTCATTCCAACCCTATGAGGTAGACAGGAAAACCATAGCTGAGATTTTTTTCTACATCACACAACTCACAGGTGGCAGGTCTACCTCTTAAGCTATCTCTGAGCACTGCCACCTAGCAGCCAATGTGAATTATTCACGAGCAAGTGGGAGTCACACCTCCAACTCAGAACCCACTGCTGCATTTGGGATTTGCAACCTGTGCAGAGAGACCTCCCCACATCTCCCAACCCCTCAGAAAAGCCTCAGATGAGAAAAGAGTCTCCACGTGCATATAAATGATTCTTTATGCCCTTCCCCCATGCAATGGGGGGTGGAGCAGGGGGAAGTCCCCCGCCCTCATGCAGGGAACGGGAGGTCAATGTATACTAGTCTTATTGCCAGATGCCCTGTGGCCATGGGGTGGGGAATGGGGTCTACAGCCCCTTTCTTCTGGCATTGGTCCCCCTTCACCAAGTCACCATGGTGGAGCTGGGGGGCTGGAGGCCCTAGGAGCCGAGGTAAAGATGGTTCTCTCCAGGGAGAAAAGCTGCTCTCCCTGCCTGCCCACTAGCCATCTCAGGATGAGTATGATGAGCTGTCAGTGGGGCCTGCAACATCATCCAGGTGTCTCTACCCAGTGGGCAGTAGAGGCCAGACAATGTCTTCAACTTGAAGCTGCCCACAGAGATCCTCAGTGGTGGGGGCAGTGTGCCCAAACACCTCGTCCGGGTTGAACCTCCAGAAGCCATGAGAGCTCATCTCTGGCTGATGCATTGACTCAAGATCCCTGCTCCTGGAGTCCAGGTCAGACTGTGGTGACCCTCATGACAACCTCTCGGCCAGAATGGGAGCTGGAACGGGCATCTGGTGGCCGCAGCTGTCCAAGGAGGTGCAGGATCGTGTAACCACAGCGCTGAGGCAAGAGCGTCCGCATGCGCTGGGCAGCTGGAGGGCGGCTGGTGGCCCCAGATGGGGGGCCTGTCCGTGAGGTCCTGGGGCCTGGCTTGCCTGCCGTCCCTCCCCCTGCATCTCCTCCTATGTCCTTGGTCTTGTCATAATTCAGGACCTTCCACTGCTGGTTCACAGCCTGCCAACGCTTGAAGATGCGGTACACAGAGGAGCCTTCATGGACGATGAGCCCTGAACAAGAGGAATAGCAAATTCAGGGTCAACTGCTGCCCAGACCTAGGCCAGAGGTACTTCAGCAAGCACTTGAAGTTAGGAAAGTTGCAAAGGGCCCTGAGAAGCAGGAACATGAGGGGCACTAGGATAGCCTCAAAGGTCCCCACTGGCAGAAAAGTAGGCCATGAAACTGAGGGGATGGCCAGGGAGGTTAAGCATGCGAGAAAAAAGTACTGAGCGGGTAAGGGGGAGAGAAGTATCCTCACCTATACAGACGACATCCATGAAGCCGTACATGCCATAGCAGATCTGAAAGAGCAGATCCTGCCGCTGCCACTTAGCTGAAGGGCTGAGTGAGGACCAGATGAGCCAAGAGATGCTGGCGACTAGGAAGAGCGAGCCCAGAACAATAGCAGCAATCTGGACCTTCTCGATGACCGTCAGGGAGATGGCCTGCCACTGGGTGGGAGAAAGGGCTCCAAAAAGTCACAGGAAGGGATGAGGGCCAGGTGATGGGTGGCCCTGAAGAAGAGGATGCCCGGGGATTTTCCTCCTTAAATCCTTTTGGAAGCATTAACCTCTGTCTCCCCCTTGTCCCCAACCAAACCTCCAATGTGACACTTGCCTGACATCATCATCTATCTTATTTCAGAAAGGCAGGATCAGGCAAATGTGAAGCTAAAACATCTAGGTTTGGATCCCAATTTTAACTTCATCACTTACTAGATGAATAACTCTGGGTAAGTTTTTTGGTTTTGGTTTTGGTTTTTGTTTAATTTTGCTATAGGGTGCTTGAACTGACCAGAGAGAGAGAGAGGCATAGAGAGAGAGGGAGTGAGAAAGTGACCCCAAGAGGGGGACGATCATGCCACAATCCCTTCTCCATTCTCCTCTCCTCTGTCTCCCCCTTGTCCCCAACCAAACCTCCAATGTGACACTTGCCTGACATCATCATCTATCTTATTTCAGAAAGGCAGGATCAGGCAAATGTGAAGCTAAAACATCTAGGTTTGGATCCCAATTTTAACTTCATCACTTACTAGATGAATAACTCTGGGTAAGTTTTTTGGTTTTGGTTTTGGTTTTTGTTTAATTTTGCTATAGGGTGCTTGAACTGACCAGAGAGAGAGAGAGGCATAGAGAGAGAGGGAGTGAGAAAGTGACCCCAAAGAGGGGGACGATCATGCCACAATCCCTTCTCCATTCTCCTCTTGGGATTTTGGGCATGCACGCACACACCCAGCATGTTTTTCAAGCCACCAGGTCTTGGATTTGAACCACACAACCAGCCATGTGGGCTCCAAACACCTGGACCACCCATACCACTGGCTGGCCTGTTTTGGGCAAGTTGTTAAAAACAGCACTAATAATGGTCTCTCACAGGATCACTGTGAAAGTTGTAAGAGCTAATACACACTAAAAGTGGGTCCACAGAAAACACTTCGTGTCTGTTCTCCACCATTATCACCATTATCACTTTTTTTCTCTTTTGTTGTCCCAGAACCCAGAACAGTGCCTGAACTACAAGTGGCACCCCACGATTGTTCCTGCGAATAAATGAAGGAAGGAAGGCTATGTAGACACAAAAGAGATTGTGGTAATGGTATGGAGGGGTGGCTTTAGTAAATGACGTGTAATAGGTGCCCAATCAGGAGGGTGCCTGATTCCGGTGACTGAAATAGCCTCGCCCAGTCTCTTGAGTCGTCTCCTTGTATCTCACCTGCAGTGGGTTCTTGGTGCTGATCGCCAAGACCTGGTACTTGAAGTAGCAAAGCTCACAGCTCCAGGATCCCCTCTCGCTGATCCAGCGGATGAGGCAAGGCTGGTGTGTGCAACGCACAGAGCCGTCGCAGCGGCAGGGACTCAGGAGCTCCCCCTGGAGGAAGAGTGGGAAGGTGTCCTGTCAGCCATCACCACCCCGACCCTACTCCACCGCGCACCTGGAGAGGGAAACACCTCTTCAGGTCATTCTCTCACCTCAAAAAAAAACCTCTAGGCCTTTCACCCAAAACTGGGCAAGAGGCTAAGGCTACAGCAGAAAAGAAAGAAGTTAGAATTTCAGAGAAACGTTCCGTACCAAAGGGATGGGAGGAGGGCTGAGAACTAGGTCTTCTCTTTTCCTAGGCTTTGGGGAGGGTGGTCTTTAAGACTCCCCAGACGGAAGGCTTACCCTTAGATCTGGAGGGACAAGAGGGTCGAAGCTTCAGAGCCGTGCCTTGCTTCCCCTACCCCATCCTTGTAAAGTATGTCATAGATCTGGTGTAGTCTGGGATGGGTTACCATCCTGTTTCCACGAATTAAAGAGGAGAAATCCTGGGGGTGGAAGTGAAGGATGTTTCCCTTCACTACATAGAGACACCCTCTGGCACTAACCCAGGACAACCCTGCCCATACATTTTAACCAAGAATGAGGTGGAAAGTTGAGGGATGGAAGTGGAGAAAAGTGCCCCACGGGGAGAAACACTGAGCAAGGCAAAGGCGCCGCCTGGGCTTCTCCCTTCAAGGAGGGGACAGAAGCACTCTCCTTTCTGCCCACCTCCGGGAAAATAGGTCCCCTCAGCCAACGGCGACCCAAGGGTGAGGGGAAGGAGCGAACCGTCCCTGTGTAAGGGCGAGAAGGATTTTGAGCTCTCTCCAGAGAAAGCCCCACCCCTTCCTGGGAATCCCTGACCCCTCACAACCCAAACACGCGCTCCGGGAGTCTCCGGCCAGCCCCGGCCAGCCCCCAACCTCGTCCCCTTCCCACTGCGGGTTCTGGGTCCCGCCCAGCCTCCCTAGGCCCCGCCCCCGGCTCCGGCTCCGCGGTCGCCGCTCCGCGCTGGCCCCAGGTGTGCGCCCCCACCCCTCCCCGCCCGGCCAGGTGCCCAGGCCTGACCTGCTCCGGGCCCTGGAAGCAGATCCGGCACTGGGGGGTTCGGAGCCCGCTG